AAAAAAAAAAAAAAAAAACAACTGCAAGATTAGGATTTTAGCAGCAGAAAGTCCAGCTGTAAAACGCCTAAATTTCACACTCTCATTCACAAAACAAGTTCACCGACCTCAACCTAACCCAGAAGCGCTACGATCTGGAAATCAAACATATAAAAAAAGTACCTTCATCGCAGTCGCTTCTAGACAATCAAAAAGTCATAATGAAAATTAGAATACTCAACCCAGTCAAGCCAGCATCATGACAAAACAAGTCGTCTTTGGTTTAAAGGAAAATTAGTCAACCCTGTAGCAATCAGCGAGAAATCCAAAGTTTTCAACTGCGTTCCGTAAACAACTTTATCATAAAAAATATAGTCTCAGAGTATCGCTTAAAATGTCAACAGACTGAATTTTTCCAAACACAACCAACTGCTACTAAGAGAAATCACAAAACACTGAAGTTTCGATACAGAAAAAAATGATTTGATTGATTTGCAAAATGAGCTAGGATGACAAAGAAAAAACTTATCTCACTGCACTTTCGGCATAAAATGATTCAAAAAAAAAAAGACCAAAAACTGCTTTCCTGTCAAAATACTCAGAATTAAAAAAATTCTTGATTTCGACAACGAAAAGAACAAAATTAATAGCAAAGAAATTTTATAAAATTACACTGCCATCCAACTCTCCTAAGATCTGAGCATAAAAGATTTGTACATATCCCTTGAACAGATGATGAAGACAATAGATGGTCATCCAATATTGGCTAGAAAACTTTTTACCAGTGAACAAAAACCAGACCTAACTTTACAAAATAAGATAGGCCCCAATGTCAAAAAACTACATCTCCGATCAGTGAAAGAGCGCAACAAGTGAAATTTAGAAGAGTAGTGAATGACAAGTTGCCGAAAGATGAGTTTCAGTTAAAAAAAAAATTAGGTAAAATATTTCAGGTACAACAGCTACAAAAAAAGTTCCCGTTCAACCTTGGAAACATTAAAGCGATCAAAAAAGACAACTACTGTAACGTCAAGCAACATAATTACAAATAGAAAACAACTTAAGAAGTATATCCATAACATTCGCAGCAATAGTCTGCAAATGACCACACCGATTAAGAAATAATCTATTACTAAAATGTGAATATTCCTCTGTGCCCTGAACCTTGCACAACATTTTAACTAAAAATCACTTCCACTAGTCGAGCCAAATATGCGTACCCATTACCCTGTTCAACTTTGCTAGAAGCAAGAAGTTTTCAGACAAAAAGTTTCACTACGGAAACTATCATAAAATACGAAACCCCCTATAACCTGTTCCACTTGAAGAAGAAGCTGATTAGGAAGCAAGTGAAACGTCAGTTCAGCAACTCAGTCAAAACCGGAAAATTGCCACTTATGTTAACCGAAATATTTTTTTCCTACATTTAATTTGAGCTAGGTGCGCAATCGTAAGTGAAGTTAAACTTCTCCGGAAATGCTGAACCGCTTATAAGCTTTTATAGTTAAACAACAGAAAAAAGGTAAAGAGCATTTATGTTATAACAAACGCTTATATCTATATTTCTCACATATCTTCAGCCAGGCTTCCTTGACACACTCCGAAAAAATAAAATTAACAATTAAGCCCACAATTCCTTTTCCAGTCGCCGTCATTTGAGCATTAAGCACAACAATTTCGTTTCAATACAGCAGAATTTGACAACCTGCGGAAATTTCTGCCGAGAAAAACGTGCTAACCGGGAACGAAATCACATGTGCCAAAGCATTATGAGTAAAAAGAAGATGAATTACCTGAAAAAGTAGACGGGAAAGAACAGCTAACAAATCCAGCAGGTATAACAGTGTTTGGCGATGAATTTTGGCCTTCCATCGAACTGACAACACTTCGTCAACATCGGAATTTTCTTCTCACCAAAAACATGATAAAAATTATTACTAAAAACATTTTGATAGCAACGACTTCTCGCATTTGTACGTATTTTGACTTGCACAGACTTCCAAAAGTTTTAATCACAACCATCAAGCAAAAAATTGGCAAAACTACTAAGACTTGTTCGCTCTTTTTACATAAGCAGCAGCCGTCGAAATTTTGATCAGTGACCAGGTATAATTAAGAAGAACAGCGGCAAAAAAAAGAAAAAATAAAGAAAAAATAAATATAACTGGGCAAAATTTCAATTTTCATTAATGAACACCAACAACACTAGTCAATACATTATATATATATAT